TGTAATGTAATGTAATGTAATGTAAATGTAATGTAATGTAATGTAAATGTAATGTAATGTAATGTAATGTAAATGTAATGTAATGTAATGTAATGTAATGTAAATGTAATGTAATGTAATGTAAATGTAATGTAATGTAATGTAATGTAATGTAATGTAATGTAAATGTAATGTAATGTAATGTAAATTAAATGTAAATGTAATGTAAATGTAATGTAATGTAATGTAATGTAATGTAAATGTAATGTAATGTAATGTAATGTAATGTAATTTAATGTAATGTAATGTAATGTAATGTAATGTAATGTAATGTAATGTAATGTAATGTAATGTAATGTAATGTAATGTAATGTAATGTAATGTAATGTAATGTAATGTAATGTAATGTAATGTAATGTAATGTAATGTAATGTAATGTAATGTAATGTAATGTAATGTAATGTAATGTAATGTAATGTAATGTAATGTAATGTAATGTAATGTAATGTAATGTAATGTAATGTAATGTAATGTAATGTAATGTAATGTAATGTAATGTAATGTAATGTAATGTAATGTAATGTAATGTAATGTAATGTAATGTAATGTAATGTAATGTAATGTAATGTAATGTAATGTAATGTAATGTAATGTAATGTAATGTAATGTAATGTAATGTAATGTAATGTAATGTAATGTAATGTAATGTAATGTAATGTAATGTAATGTAATGTAATGTAATGTAATGTAATGTAATGTAATGTAATGTAATGTAATGTAATGTAATGTAATGTAATGTAATGTAATGTAATGTAATGTAATGTAATGTAATGTAATGTAATGTAATGTAATGTAATGTAATGTAATGTAATGTAATGTAATGTAATGTAATGTAATGTAATGTAATGTAATGTAATGTAATGTAATGTAATGTAAAGTAAATGTAATGTAAATGTAATGTAATGTAATGTAATGTAATGTAAATGTAATGTAATGTAATGTAATGTAATGTAAATGTAATGTAATGTAATGTAATGTAAATGTAAATGTAATGTAAATGTAATGTAATGTAATGTAATGTAATGTAAATGTAATATAATGTAAATGTAATGTAATGTAAATATAATGTAATGTAATTTAAATGTAATGTAATGTAATGTCTCAATATACAATGCAGTTATAACGCAGTATATAAATAATATACATGCAGTTATCTTTGATGCATCAAGTTCTCCCTAGTTATTACAATGCCAACGATTATTTCAACAAATTGTGAAAGGCTTTTACTACCCCTTTAATAATTCAGAACACAACTTACGAATCCAATTTTATACCCTCGTGCAACAGTCTTATCAATCTAAAAGTCAGATAAAAAGCACCGTACCGATTTTTATTCCACGAGTGCACGCACTCGCTTGCAAACCCGCAAGGAAATCCCGATCGGTTCGCGCGATAGCAGGGCGGCCAAAAAGATGAGCATCGTTACAGAAAATCGCGAACAATAGAATTTCCCGGGGAGCTGCTCGCGTTAATTGCTTCTGGCCGCTAAATTCCGCGGGAGTCATTGAAATTCGCGCGTAATAATGTAATTAGCCGCGGCGGCGGCCCTTCCGCGATCCTCGAGCCATTTTCCTCGGCTCCGTTGCCCAGCCAGCGTGAAAAATGCCCTCCCCCCTTCCGCGCAAAGAGCTCCGGGGGGCGTAATTTATTATGCGAGATTACGAGTGTCAAGCCGATTACGCAACCGTCGGAGAAACACGGGACAGAGCGATCGATGGAACGTTCGCGATCGACGTACACGGAAGACCGGCTGTATCGCGGGGCCGATCGCCACGCGATTCGGCCATTTTCCGGTTCGCTTGCGCGGAAATACGATGCCCGGTAATCGTCGAACGTTGTAGCAATCTTTTCGATACCCGCCGGTCCGTATCCACAAAACGATTGTCGTCGATTTTTTTTCCGTGGTTCCGTTCTGCTCGCGATTTTTTCCGAGAACGAGATCGCGGGCGAGAATCAATCGTTGGAATCGCGATCCGACGAAAGGAAGTCTCGAGCGGAGGAGAACAGCTGATTGCACAGCGTCGGAATTTTCTCCCGAGCGCTATAGAGCCGAGGTAAATCGCCGAAACGATTATCCAGCCAAAGGAAGTGTGAAGTTACACGCGGCAAGATCGCGTCGGCGCGGCCGAGCGCGGCAGCAGAACTCTCGAAATCCCTGAATGAATTTCATTGATCCCCGGCGATGACGTTCTGCCGTCGTGCGCGATCATTCTCCGCGTTCCTCTTGTCTTTCCTTTTTTTTCCCCTTGTTTTCTTTTATCGACGAGTGCGTCACGCTCTCTGTCGGAACGATTTAGCATCGGCGCTTTCACGTTGTGCAAGTATTACGGCACGAACTATAGCCGGGTGCCCCCGGTTCGCTGTTTTGCCCGTCTTTTTTCGAACAACTGCAATTAGACTAATGGCCGGCGGGGCTCATGATCGATACTCGGCGCGGATAATTACGAAGGAAACGAATTTTCGACGGGTACAGCGACGGCGGAAACGGGGACGCGTCGATTCGATTAGGATGCGAACGTTCGACCGCGCGCTTTTTTATCAATTCGCCCGGGGACGATCGGGGCTCACTGGCTGGATGGAACTCGGTCGAGAGGAACGACGATCGCCGGCACAACAACTGTTGTCACTCGGTGCATACGAGAGATTGAACGAAACGGGCGAGCAAGTCGCGAACCCGTCTGTCTCTATACCATTGTTCGCGGGCTTCCGTTCCGGGCGATCACAATTTTTCCGGAATGCCTATTTCCACCGGAAGAATGTTTCAGACACTTCGTGCGACGGCTGCATGGAGGAGAATTTCTAAAGCTCGGCGTGCTCTCCGAAATATGCGCAAACGAAACAGCTCGACGTGTTTTTTCTCCCAGTACAATGCACTGCGAGAACAATGGCTGCAGGTTGAACGGTCTGTTTGCGCGATTCGTTACCCTGGCGACATCGGATTGATTTCTATCACGGGTCTCTTCCCCGTCGCGTCGCGCGCGCTCGCGAGATACGCGGACAGCTGTCAACCTCCTTAGATACTTGCCGCTCGCACGGCAGAACGTAAAATATGGTACAATTGCGGGAAACGTTCGTTTCTCGACGATGGCGAATCAGGCGATTACGTGGTTGCGCGACGATCATTTTTTGGAAAATTAAACCTTGGCGAATCTGGCCGACAATTGTATAATGTTATTTTTTGATACAAAAGAGATTGTTGGTGATCAGCGTGGTTGCGAGATTGAACATTTTTGCTGATTGTTAGCCATGTCTTTCTTGTTCAAGTATTGCAATTCTTTACAACGTCGTATCGTTTTATAATTTTTAAAGAGAGACGTATATTCCAATTTTGCGTTTATATTAGTTTAAGAATCAAGGATTGATGATACGAAATATTTAACAGTCTGACATCGTTGCCGAAGGAAAGAATTTAACCCTTTGCACTCGAATGGTGACTCTGGGATGTCAAATTTGTTGTGTCGCGTTCTAAGGCGATTTTGTACGCATAAAATGCACTTCGTCATGTAAAATGAAAATGCTACAAGTCGGAAAAATTATTTTAGATTTATAGTTAAAGTAGCTTCGAGTGCAAAGGGTTAAAATAGAGTTGCGTTTCTATCAGTTTAAGAGTCAAGAATTGATGATACGATGAAATATTTAACAGTCTAACATCGTTGCCGAAGGAAAGAATTTAACCCTTTGCACTTGGGTGGTAACCCAAGACTCTGAGGCACCAAATTTGTTATGTCGCGTTCTATGGTGATTTTTATATCGACAAAGCTTAGATTTAAAAAAATTGTTGGAACTATATCTGTTGTGTGAGTCGCAAGACTCAATTTCGTGTGCATAAAATGCACTTTGTCATATAAAATGAAAATGCTGCAAGTCAGAAAAACTATTTTCGATTTATAGTTAAAGTAGCTTCGAGTGCAAAGGGTTGAAATGGAGTTAAAAATTACGAAGACTCGATAAAACAATGAAAAGTCGGCACTTCGTTATCTTACTTCGCCGATTGTCATCCAAACTTTGGATCCAAAAAGTCGCACTCGTAACTGCATTTCGATATAATTTGACGATGACATCGAACGAAAGAATCGTCGGGAAAAAGGCTGTCAGTCGAAAACGATGATATCTTCCAGGTTACATCGTTTAACCCTTTGCAGTCGAAGCCATTTTAACTAGAAATTCGAAATAGTTTTTCTGATCTATAGTAATTCCGTTTTATACAACCCAGTGCATTTTATACACATGAAATTGAATTTTGTGACGCATGCAACAGCTGCACATTTCACAATTTTTTAAATACAAACATTGATAATGTTGAAATTACTTTGAATCGTGATAATAACAATTTTTAATGGCGCCTTAGAATCGCCACTCGAGTGCAAAGGGTTCAAAATCAGTGCATTTTCTAAACTCGCCGACAGATTAATTCAAGAATCTAGTATTAACAGGAACATTATCCTCGAATGTCATTATAAAATAACAAGTAAAATGGACTAAAATTTCAATTATCAATTGATCGAATAAAACAGCCTTAAGCAGTTTCCTAATTATCAATTGATCGAATAAAATAGCTTTAAGCAGTTTTCCAATTATCAATCGATCGAATAAAACAGCTTTGAGCAGTTTTCCAATTATCAATCGATCGAATAAAATAGCCTTAAGTAGTTTTCCAATTATCAATCGATCGAATAAAATAGCCTTAAGCAGTTTTCCAATTATCAATCGATCGAATAAAATAGCCTTAAGCAGTTTTCCAATGATCAATTGCTCAAATAAAACAGCCTTAATCAGTTTTCCAATTACCAATCGATCGAATAAAACAGCCTTAATCAGTTTTCCAATGATCAACTGATCGAATAAAACAGCCTTAATCAGTTTTCCAATGATCAATTAACCGAACAAAACAGCCTTAAATAAACTACATCAGCGCAGTAAAGTAAGATGCGAGGAGTAGGAGCGAATGAAACGACGCCGACTCGATTGTTTATCACAAGACATAAAAATAAACTTTTATTAGAAAATAAATAAAAGTGTTGCAGAAGTATGATCGAGGGAGGGGTGGGCTGGAGATAGGCGGACGGAAAGATTGTAGGAGAATATACAGTGAAAGCTCGGACGTCGCGATGTCTTCTTCAGTATCACAAGCCGCGCGACAAATTTTCGACGTGGCTAGTGCCACGGGGTCAAAGTACGATCAACGTGGGTGATGAGACTGGAACATTTGGAGGGGGGAGAGTGTAGATGAGATTGCAGAGAAGTCGCCGCGTCCGGGACCAACTGGTTCGGTCCGACTGTTCTACGAAGGGAAGACGACGAGAACCAAAAAGGTTGGGGGGGATGCGAAATTTTCGGCATTCGAATTCGGTCGCCTGGTCCGGGAGGTCTTCGCGAATCGATGGGACGTCCGTTGTACGTCGCGTTCCTGTGTCCTTCCGCTGGATAATACTGATCAAACGCGTCCGACCTTCGCCCGGGTTATAACCCCGGGACTTTCGGTCGGACGACTTTCCAAGTCCAAGCTTGGCCCCGACTCCCGGTCGACGCCGATCCTTCCGCTTGTATATGATCCTGGGCCTCGTTTCCGCCGAGAGAATTTCGATGATTGGCCGTGGTTATCGTTATATATCGCAAGGCGTCGCTACATTAAGCACCTCGGGACGGCTCGCCCAGGACGGATGTCACCCTGGACCAGCGGGGTCGGTTGGTGCCGTACGGTACCTTAATCCCAGGGATGGTGGACGGGGGCCTTGACGACCTTCACGGGCTCCACGTACGTCTCGAAGCCGACCAGATGCGGCTTCACGATGTGCGGCGGGTGATACGGGATCCTAACCGTCTGGGCGTGGACCTTGATGTTCAGCGGCTGAGGGTGTGGCGCCGGGATGGACGCCTGCTGAGGGACCTGGAGCACCTGGTGCACTTCCTGATGTGCCTACAGAAATCAGCGACATGTCATTAAATTGCAGATCGTGCGAAACAGAGTCGAGAGAGCTCTCGGTGAGCTCTTTTCGTCCGATCGCGTTGCTACGGTAAGAGGATCCGAACGATCCGAGGACCCGAAATCTCGTCGGCTCTCCAGAGATCTGACTTTTCGATTACTAGATTCGCTAAATGATTACAAATAAGCAGCAGTTCGTGGCAACACGTTGCGAGCACGTTGATCCGCGATTTCGCGGATCGCTCGCAGAGGTCTCATTAGACGACGATCGGAGCATGATTCCCGTAGCAGCCTGGAAAGCTGCGTTACATGACTCGTAACGAGCGCGGGTTAATCATGGGCGACGAGGAATTATCGATAATGCGATGGTCGTTGCGAATCGCCTATCGGATGGCGCGTAACGATGATGAGAGAGAGAATGGTCTAGATGACCAGCGCTGGGAACACGAAGTTTTGCGTTGCCAGAGATCATCAGTACCAGCTGATCGTGCGTTCCGAATTTTCTTGTTACAGCTCTTCGGAAGAATAGAATATGCTATCGATCGCTGGAGAATTTTGCAAAGCTCGTGGAACTTCGACTTTCAAGAAATTCTGATGTTTTTACGATGGCTGAAGATCAACGTCTGAGGTCGCTACGTGGAAGAGAACGCCGTGGTTTTTCTAGACGACTCTTGTCCTCGCGAACGGTGAGACTTAACTTTTAGAAAGATGATCGACGGCGCGCCAGAATCGGTCGATTTTTTACCTGACGTGGAAGAGAACGCCGTGGTTTCTAGACGACTCTTGTTCTCGCGAAGGTGAGACTTAACTTTTAGAAAGATGATCGACGGCGCGCCAGAATCGGCCGGAATCCGTCGACATTTTTACCTGACGCGAGTACAGTCACCGATCTCGAATCGTCTTCGTCGTTACCTGAGGCAATGCAACCTTCACGAGCGCAGGTTGGGCAACCTTCGGTGCAACCCAAGGTTGTGCAGCTCCTGCCCAAGGATCGGATGGCCACGGTTGAACGACCTAAGTGGTTCAAAATCACGAAAACGATTCAATGCGAACGCTCTTTTAGAACGGCTTTGTTATTCAGTTTGTTATTCCCCACCGAGCAGGTCCAGTTAACTCGGTTTTTTTGCGAAGAACGATGTAAACAGTGACAGAGAGAGAGAAGTGATCCGGAGAATTAAACGAGAGCAGATGGAGAATGTTGAGGAAGAGATGACGTTAGGCGATTAGAAAGAGAACGCTGCTGGATCTCCCGTTTCTGGAGCGATTCCTGCGCGGCCCAAGTTTCGTCGGATCACTTGGCCGTCCGTTACACAGCGGCTACATTAATGAATGATTAATTGAAGACTGATTAGCTGTGTCGTGCCGACATGGAATCTCTGTCCGTGTCGACTTCGCGCGCCAGTTTTTACATCGAGTAAGTTTAGTGTTTCGCTTAATGTTTCGAGATGAATTCGTACGGATGCAGTCGGCTGCAGAGTTATGGCAACCGTGGGCAGGCGGAACGTACAACGAAGTTAAATGTTTAAAGAAGATGTTGATATTTTGAAATTGACTTATTGACTTATTGGTTATTTGATCTATTGAAATTGTTTGAAGGAGAAACAATTTTTACTGTGCATCAAAATCCACAGTCTAGTGACTATTATCTAACGGGAGAGCATTGAAAACACAACAGGGATTATTAGAGATCTCGAAATTATAAATTAATAATTGTAATAAATTGTAAATCTTGAAACTCGAAAATCTCGAGAATTTGTTCATATTATAAATCTAATTCTAACTCTAATATTAGGGATTATTAGAAATCTCGAAATTATAAATTAATAATTGTAATAAATTGTAAATCTTAAAACTCGAATCTCGAGAATTTGTTCATATTATAAATCTAATTGTAACTCTAATATTAGGAATATTAGAAATCTTGAAATCATAAATCAATAATTATAATAAATTATAAATCTCGAAACTCGGATCCCGAGAATTTGTTTATATTATAAATCTAATTCTAACTCTAATATTAGGAATATTAGAAATCTCGAAATCCCGAGAATTTGTTTATATTATAAATCTAATTCTAACTCTAACATTAGGAATATTATAAATCTCGAAATCATAAATCAATAATTATAATAAATTATAAATCTCGAAACTCGGATCCCGAGAATTTGTTTATATTATAAATCTAATTCTAACTCTAATATTAGGAATATTAGAAATCTCGAAATCCCGAGAATTTGTTTATATTATAAATCTAATTCTAACTCTAACATTAGGAATATTAGAAATCTCGAAATCATAAATGAATAATTACAATAAATTATAAACCTTGAAACTCGAATCCCGAGAACTTGTTTATATGTAACTTTTGTAGTGTTGTTTGTCTCATTGTCTGCGTTGATATAATAATTTTTAGAAGATATTAGTAGCAGTTACTCTTGTTATCTTGATAATGTTCGAGATACGATTAAGGTGTTCTTCTACCTGTCATACAACGATTAGGTAGTATTATACTGATATAGTTATATTTTTTAATCACATTCGAGCACATGTAAACAGCGAAGTATAAACGTTACGTTTGCTGTTTTTTTTTTTAGAGGAATGTAACACAAACTTTCATTCGACTGAATATAAATTACCGTTAGAAAATTGTTATGAAACATGCTGTAGTTAAATCAAATTCCAGCTAATAGTAGAAACCATGTAAATCTCGATTCAATTGAAAGTGAAACCGGAATTTTTAAATGTTTGAAAGTTTTACTTACCGGAGCAGCCCATGGGATTCCGGGGTAAGCACTGGCGACCGCCATGAAGGCAAAGAGAACAATCTGCAATTGCAAGACGAGTCAACAATAATTCCTATATCGTCACTTAATTTTATTTATTGATTTTAGATCAAGTTTAAATTTGTTATTATTTTATATTAGATCTTTCTTACATAATTACAAGATTCATTTATAGTAAATAGAACCGATTTATTCATTTTAGACTAGGGAACTATTTATTTCCATTTTATATTAAATCTTTAGATAGAAGATATATTTATAGCAAATGAAACATGTTTATTCGTTCTAGAACAGTGACAAATTTATTTCTGTTTTCTATTAAATCTTTGTTGTATTACCATAAGATTAATTTATAGCAAATGTAACATATTTAGAGTAGATAAAAATTTATTTCTATTTTATATTAAATCTTTATTTATATTACTACAAGATTTGTTTGTAATAAATGAAACATGCAATGATACAATGAACAACGAAATAAAGAACTATAATATTTTCGTAATTTATCTCATGGAACACGTTCAAAAATTATTTTCGTTGAAAAACTCACTATAAAATGAAATCTTTTACAAAACAATAACATACTTGCTGTGATTGTTGAACGTTTTAAAAAATTCCGATTCGAGGAAAATTCTTAAAACCAGTAGAAAATTGAATACCGAATGTAAAAAACAAAAATATTCCGAACATCTATGAATTGAAAATCATTGAAACCAGTGAAAAATTGAATAAAAATTGTAAGAAATCAAAAAAATTGTTCCATTATTCTGATTTCCACGTGCAAGAAAGACCAAGCGCAAGACACAAATCTTCTTAATAATATGAAAATATTGTAAACAGATTTCCAATAATACATTCTGTCTATTTTCACGTTCAACTAACGCATCCAAAAAATTCGAAACTCTAAAAAAATATTCATCTCGCAGCAACATGCCGAACATTGAATTTACACCGACGTATTAAATGTTCCAAAAATACAAAATCCGCGGCAATATTGTTCCGATTTAGTTACAAACATGCTGCGATTTAGTTTAATTTAAAAAAAGTAAAGAAACCGAACCGAGAAACGACACAAACCGGGATTACGTCTCACAACAACTAGCCGACGAACCGACGATTCAGAATCTCGAAGAATTATCCGAAACAGCTGTCGATATTTAATCAATTTCAACGATATAAAATTTGCAAAAATCTTTCATTTCTACGATATAAAATTCGCCGGTTCCCTCTGAGAAGCAGAAGGAATCGCGGCTAGGTCCGACAGAGCGTAGGATACCGCCGCGGCTAGTTTGCCAGCGGTTCGAAACTTACGACGATCTTCATCGTTGGTGATTTTTCTTGTGCTGTACACGGGAAAACACTACGTATCTGAGGGGCGACGCGGTATGCTTTTATAGCGGGGCCCTGCCCAGGCCTAGGGAGCCCACGATGAGGCGGGGGCACAACGATTGCATTGCATACGGACCCCTTTCACCAATAGAGATCGACCCTTTCAGACCCCTTATTCGGTGCTCCGCTGACCGCAGAGACTCGTTCCACTTCCGGTAACCGCGGCCAGACCAACCCTCGAAAATTCGGGAGAGCTTACCGCGGAGACGAGCGAAGCTTTTCGGGCATTAAAAGCCGAGCTGGATCGGCAAACGTTGACCTGATTTGCGGCGTTGCAACGACACCGGTCGCATTCGTCGCGACCAGAAAGAGAGAGAGAGAGAGAGAGAGACAGAGAGAGAGAGAGAGAGAACGAAACCTGGGCGCGCGAAAAAAATTCATTAAGGATCCACGCGCGTATAACCGTCCGAATAATTACCCAATCCTTCGCTCGTTGTTCCCCGATTTAACCGTCAATTAGAGGATATTGCTGTTATGTATTGTGATCCGAGAAAACACTGTTGCATAAGTCTGGAAAAAAATTGATCGGTCCGACTGCGTTTTTGCGGAGCGCAGTGAAGGGAATTCGAAGATATATTATTCGTGCGACCTAACGATCTAATAGGCGTACCTCATTTTTAGCAGGTGCGTCTATGAGTAATTTGTTGTTTCTTTTTTTTTATTCGATAATGTAGCGAACATTTTACGGTTTTTACTTCAGTTATATTTCGTATCGCTGATCGACGTCCGCCATTCTTTCCTGCGTTTCTCTTTGTGCCGGGGTCGAGAGTCTAAAATCTCGATATTAATAATTTTTATTTTGGTTTTGCGTTTATTCTTGCATCATTCTTTCATTCGCGGGGCATTACAAAGACGTAATAAAGTGAACATCGTGAAATAAGTATCTGCAGATTTTAAAGAGATTTTAAGAGATTTTAGAACGATTTTCTTTGCAGTATTTTAAAGAGACTGGTAAACTAAGACCGCTTTATATTATGCAGTTATGAATTTTAGGATTTAAATTTGAAATTTATAATTCAGACCAGTTTTAGAAACCGGTTGCACAATTTTGGTTGCATCCTATTTTGATATTTGCATCGGAAATCTAGAGAAAGTACACACTTTTTGCGTTTTGCTTCCTGGCATATATTGCAGCCTAGGTCAATTTATAACTATACTATACTAAACTAAACTATACTATAACTATATTATAGTTATTATTATAACTATTATATATTTTATTACTATTATTTTTTACTATTATATTATTACTATAACTATATATACTGTAACTATACTATACTAAATTCTCTTGAATACAGAAGGAAAACTTTTATGCTTTTCGCATATAAAATTCCTGATGTAGTTCTTCTATATAAATATTTCTTATTATTCTTTTTTCTTTTTTTTGTATATATATATATATATTTTTTTCTTTTTATATACTAATAGATTGCCACACACACACACACATATATATGTGTTTATTTATTCCTTTTATTTATATATATATAAACATGCGCAGTTAACGCTAAACCTACCGCGGCGTTCAAAATTACCAATTTCACGGTTTTTATTTCAAAATGTTCGGAATTACAGAATTCTCACATAATTAAATAAATTTCAAAAGTCGAGCGTACATCGTAATACAAACGTCATAATACAAACAAAAATATATATATATATTTTTAATTATTTTTTTTCTTTTTTTTTGTATACATATATTTTTCTTTTTATATACTAATAGATTGCCACCCATATATATAAATAAAAGAAATAAATAAACATCCACAGTTAACGCTAAACCTACCGCGGCGTTCAAAATTACCAATTTCACGGTTTTTATTTCGAAATGTTCCGAACTACAGAATTCTTTCATAATTAAATTCTTACATAATTAAATAAATTTCAAAAGTCGTGCGTGCATCAAAACACGAACGGCGAAAAGTATAAATAAATTCTGCCTCGTTATTTTGACGAAGTATCGCGCGCCAGTTACGTTCATCGGTTGGCAGCTTTATTATTCGAACCGATCGAGCAGCGTTTTAATCTCCATTCGGCGGAATGCGCGGGAAAAGGATTCGCGCCAGCTTTTCGCCGCGCGCAGGCTCTTTCGTTGCCGATTGCTTTGCAATCTCGCGTCGATCATCTCGAAATAGTTGGGTAGCAATAGGGAGGATTGCACAACGGAAAAGGAGCCGCGACTTCCGTCTGGATCGACGTAACCGCCGCGCAGCGCCGATGTTTCGTCGAGCATTTTATGAAATTTCCCGCTGAAATCTTGCCTTTTCCCTTGTGGCGCTGGTCGTTATTAATTTTCCCCGTTCCCGTTCCGACGTGCTCCGCTACCTTCCGACAACGGTCATCAATCCATCGCCACGGAAAACCAGCCCGTTGGAAAACCAAAGAAGCCGGGCCCCTTCCGCGCGAATAAACTATCGCGCTAATTTCGCCTATCCGCGGGCACACGCGTTGCGCAATTTTGGCTAAAACTCGGCTCGTCGAGCTATGAAATCGCTGTGCCGACTGCTGAAACAACGTATCGCGACGGGTCGCAAAAAAACCGCGCTCTACGCTACACCATTTTATTGTCTCCCATTTACGGCGACCATTGTGCCGCCGCCGGAATTAGAACGCGCCAGGTTTTTCCAAATCCGTCGTCGGCCGACGCGGTTGCCACGCGAAAATGAAAATCGGATGAGACATTTTCGACGGCGATATTCGCGAACACCCTCTGCCGAACGTTTGATAGGATTTGTTCGATAGATCGTGTTGTTTCAGATTGTACTGGACTGCGGATTTACTAACTTAATGCTTTGACTGCCGCGCCAAACGTCTCAAAAATTTCATACAATTAAAGTATTTCGTTCAAATTAATTGAAATTGCGAAGCAAAATTTTATGTAACGTAATTGTTTCTTCAATATTGTTATCACTTACGAATCTGAATAAAATTATCAAGTTATAGTGGATCAGCATAAAAAGGAATTATGTACAACTAAATCTTCAATAATTCTGTTGAGTTTATAAATATTTGTTCCATTTAAATATTCAAAATTAAAATGAATAAAATTATGAAGTTGTAGTGGATCAGCATAAAAAGGAATTATGTAGAACTAAATTTTAAATAATTCTGTTGAGTTTATAAATGTTTGTTCCATTTAAATATTCAAAATTAAAATGAATAAAATTATGAAGTTGTAGTGGATCAGCATAAAAAGGAATTATGTAGAACTAAATTTTAAATAATTCTGTTGAGTTTATAAATGTTTGCTCCATTTAAATATTCAAAATTAAATTGTAAAGTTCACGAATGATTGTAGCATTTAAATGTTCAAAATTAAATTGTTGAATTCACGAATGCTTGCCCCTTTTAAATATTCGAAATTAAATCGTCGAGTTCACGAATAACTGTTCCATTTAAAAATTTAAAATTAAATTGTTGAGTTCACGAATTATTGTCCCATTTTAAATATTCAAAATTAAATTGTCGAGTTCACGAATTATCGTCCCATTTAAATATTNATAAATGTTTGTTCCATTTAAATATTCAAAATTAAAATGAATAAAATTATGAAGTTGTAGTGGATCAGCATAAAAAGGAATTATGTAGAACTAAATTTTAAATAATTCTGTTGAGTTCATAAATGGTTGCTCCATTTAAATATTCAAAATTAAATTGTAAAGTTCACGAATGATTGTAGCATTTAAATGTTCAAAATTAAATTGTTGAATTCACGAATGCTTGCCCCTTTTAAATATTCGAAATTAAATCGTCGAGTTCACGAATAACTGTTCCATTTAAAAATTTAAAATTAAATTGTTGAGTTCACGAATTATTGTCCCATTTTAAATATTCAAAATTAAATTGTCGAGTTCACGAATTATCGTCCCATTTAAATATTCAAAATTAAATTGTCGAGTTCACGAATAATTATCCCATTTAAATATTCAAAATTTTTTTTAAATCGTCGAGTTCACGAATAATTGTTCCATTTAAATACTCAAGATTAGTATAAAAATAAACGAACGTATACATATTGTTACATCGGTCTATTTTTATGAGGAATTTATTAGCAATAGTACGTTCGTTGCTGCAGATAATAATTTTATAAAACACAGCATAGGATAAGAATAAGCGTAGAATAATCCTACATCTACATTTTTTATCTGGTGCCATTATTTTTACTAACATCGCAGCACCTATCGCATTTCAACGAAAAATTATCAATCGAAATTTTTAACGGCAATTATAGCCGCATGTTTTACCAACGACTGAGAATACCTTACCGGCGTTCGGTAGCCTAAAAACAGCCGGCCATTTAATGGCGTCGAAGGAAGAAACGGTTCACGCGGCACGACTCTTTGAGCCCGATTTTTCTCCGCGAACCATTATGCAACGCCGTGGGGGAGAAGAAAGAAAAAAAAGGCAGCGTTTCCGTGTGATCGAGCGACACGGGCAAAATTCAGTATCAATTTTCGTCTCTCCCACCCTATTTAGCCCAATTATCCCTCGCGTCGCTAATAGGCTGACTTTTACGACTCGCCAATTTCGTAAGCTGCTGTAAACGCTGGAACGATGTAACCTAACGAGCCAGCGCGGTGCAGCACGGTCGTAAATGTATCTAGTTCTGGGTCGTGCGTTTTGCATTGTGTGCGCGTCGCCCCGTCGGAAAATTCTGCTTCGCTCGCGTCGTTCCGAATTTCCAATCTTTCCGCGTGCATTACGCAATTCGTGCTCGTGCAGTTGTTTCGTACACCCTCGAGGTAAGTAGGAGGTTCGCAGAAACAACGGTTGAAAAATAATTCTCCAACGAAACCGTGTGCGGTCTACCTGTTTCTCGAAATTTAAACCAACAATTAAGTTCGAAGGTTGCGAAACGATGCGGCGGAATTTAATTTGAGGTTTAATTTCAGTTAATTCGTTTAGTTGAATGTGTTCATTTACTATTATTTTTTATTATGATTATTTATTACTAGTATTTATTATTAGTATTTATTATTAATATTTATTTT